GGCAGATCATGACCAAAATGCACCTGCATATGTACAACACATTGTGCTAAATCTGAACAAAATCCATCCATGCATGACTGAGATCCGGTTCCGGAATTGTGAAAATATGTGATTTTGATGCATTTTTGGCCTTAAAATGGCAATCATTCAGCTATTGTTAAGCGGATCATGAAACAAATGCACATATCTATTTGTGACATGATGTACCATGTGTGTGTGAAGTTTGAACTTGATCAATTCAGGCATGTCTTGGATACGGATGCAGAACTGAATTCTTTAACAAAATGGCCACCAGTCGGCCATTTCGAACTTGATCCGGGGGAAAAAAAAGACGTGCATCAAGGTCCTATCATGTTTAATGTATGTACCAAATTTGAACAAAATCCGTCCATGCATAACTGAGGTCCGGAATGGTGAAAATGTGCGATTTTGATGCATTTTCGGCCTTAAAATGGCCGCTATTCGGCTATCGTTAATCGGATCATGAAAAAAATGCATGTGCATATGTCCCATATAATGTGTGATGTATGAGTGAAGTTTGAACTTAATCGGTCCATGCATGTTCGAGATACAGGTGATCACGGACACACACAGGGCAAAACGTAAGTCCCTGTTTTCGGACTACGTCCGAACGGGGACTCGAAAGCAAAATATTTCATCCACATTTTAAAAAGAAAATTGTATGTATTCTGTATTTGACAAACAGTTCATTCGACAAATGAAAACTCAGGAATATGTTTCAGCTATTAGAACAGAATGATAGTTTTCATAATACTAGTTTAAAAACGCACTTCAAAGATTGCAGTGTTTGAAGATGTAGATACTGTTGACTTCTCCCTCCACTGGACACCAACTAACTATTTAAGTTGATTTGCATACAAAGCAGAGCTTGCAACATGATAGCTATTCATAAAGGTTTTTTTTTTTTTTCACTTTTCATATAATACAGTAGTCACACAATGAGGTAGTTAATATTTGTCTCAGTGAATCATTAATTTTTGACAGACACCTGTACAAAATACTTGGACAAAAGCCAGCTAAAATTTTCTGTTATTTTGCATGTTTTATAAATCTATTCACGTCTAAATGCAAAACTTTTTTTTTTGCGATGAGGCATTTATTTTCATACTAAAATATCTGAATTACTTTGAATAAAACTGGAAATTATGTCCCTTAAAATAATTAAACAAATAAGGCACCAATGTTTTTGTAAGATATTTACATATTTTAAGGACATTCGGTAGACTGATTCCCCACTGTTGGTTCAACCACAAAACTTGTTTGTATTCAAAATTAATTATGACAATGCATATTTATATTGAAACAAACTGTGATAAAAGAAATTATATTATATAATAAAGGGCAAGGTCACCAGAGTTCAACTATGTTTATCATAAACATCACTATTCTGCTCAGGTTTGCAAGGTGCAGACCTTGTTCGTATCTACAATTATACTGAAAACTTTGACGAAAAAGTCGGCAGGAATGCATCATGTGTCGTTTCTTTTTTTGCCAACAAAATTTATATTAAGATTGTTATGGTGAAGTAGATATCTCGCTGGTCGTAAATCGAAACCTATGCATACTCAGCAAATTGGAAATTAAAAACTAGTACATTTTGTTAGTTCCATTCAGCCTGTACCTCCTCCGGCAATACTAGAAATATTTGCTTATTGTATTCTCCAATCAAATTGCTTGGCAAAGGATACATTACCAGAGGGCTGAAAATGTTTCACCAGTACGCTAAAACATTTATATATCGTTGCACTCGTTCCCTAATGCTCACACAAGTCGCTAATTTTACAAATTTATGCTCACAATGTGACTGATTTTCAACAATTGCATGTTCATTAAGATCACGACTATATTTACGGTATGTGGTCTCTGGGTTTAAACTCAGTTAGATTTCAATATTTTGGACAGATCGACCAAAGAGGAATGGATGCTCCAAAACCTTATCCCTCAAGGAGTGTCTACACCCAAGATTTTTCAGTATTGGGCCAAGACTACCCCGAGCAGTGCATGTTGGGTTTATCAAGATTACCAACAGAGCACTGCAATCAGGCAATATGTCATCAACTTTTACAATATAATTTTATTGCTTTTTTTTCCCACAAGGAACTGTTAGAAAAGAAAACGCATATTAGAAAAATTGTCAAAAGCTCCACCAATTCCACCAAACTGATGTTGGAATTGGTATTTAAGTTGTCAATCCTTTAGAATTTTTTTTTTTTTTACAGTCCAGATTTGTTATCAACTATGTAAAAAAAAACTGTATCATGCAACTTTATTTCTGTTATCAGACTTGAAGTCATCATCATGGTGACATTGCCATTACACTCCATCTTTGCATGTACCGGTAGTACTTCCACATTCGAAGCATATATATCATTACAAGTAGTACGTTTTGTTTGATTTGTGTCAGGTTTCTTCTCGTCTACGCATTTCTTCATCAATTCGAATTTCTAGTGCCTCCGTAAGTGCACTGTCCAGTCCCAGTCTGGGTGCATAATTCACAGCAAGGTCATGGGCATTATCACCCTGCAAGCCAATTAAAAGGTGAAATAAAACATAGAATCACATTATGAACTAATTCCCATTGACAACATTATGCCATATTTTCATTATACATTACTTCAGGGGAGTCTGTAGATGCCATACTCTACTGAATCGACACCCATGCTCAACTAAATGGCAGCATCCACTTTAGGGGTATTTCTAATGAGGGGAGGGTCAGGTTCAACTAAGTGACTGTTCTTTCAGAAACTTGGTGCATAAGTACTCTGGGATGAATCACAGACATACAATTAAATTTATTTTTGTTTAATGGCTTTCTGTTAGTACATTGTATATTAAACTTCAATTGAATTACACGGTAGCCAGAAACATGAATGTTCTGTTCTCATTTTTGTATGAGAAAGTCTATTTGCTATGGTAACAGTCTTTCTCAGTTCATTTTGGGAGAAGGGGTTTCTAAGCATTTAACTGCAAAGAATGGCCAGTCAATAGAAATATGGCTAACAATGTGTAATGGCTGGACTAGTTGTAAAATTTGAATTCCAAATTTGGTTTTTACCTTAAGTCAGCATTTTAATATATTCAGTTACCGCCCAGCAGTACAGGCAATGTCCCCTAAGGATATCATGAAATGATATCAGATGTAAAATCTCTTACCTTTCTTACGACAAATTCTGATTTAATTCCTGAGTCAGAAACATACTCTAGTTTGAAAAGTTCTTCAGTTTCCGTATCATCATCTAAATGTAAATTATAAAATAAAACTGTAGAGATGAATATTTGATGGATATGCAGTTTCTAATAACCATGCTATTTAGTACACACTGCATGATTTGATCAGACTTTCTGGAAATTTCAATCACTGCAAGATCTTGTGTACTGCACAATAGACATGAACCGATCATTTGCTGCAAAAATAGAATGATTTAATTTTGAACTTTAATTTCTTATACGGTAGCTCAGTGTTGAAATGTGGATTATTCAGAGGAGAATATTTGCATTCAGATATCCTTATTTCATCAAAGCTCATCAAATGTGTATACCACATTATATGTGAAAATAATCCAATAGTTTAATGAATCCCACACAATGTTTTCATTACTACAATGCTGAGCTCTGACCTTTGTTTTTCACAGTTTG